TAAGAAGAAGAAGAAGAAGAAGAAGAAGAAGAAGAAGAAGAAGAAGAAGAAGAAGAAGAAGAAGAAGAAGAAGGAGAAGGAGAAGAAGAAGAAGAAGAAGAAGAAGAAGAAGAAGAAGAAGAAGAAGAAGAAGAAGAAGAAGAAATAATAATAGCATTTTTAGCGTACATTCCCGCTCAACAGAGAGCTCTATGAGCTTTCAAATCTATATTAACCCGGCAGACCTTATATATATAGCATTTCTGAAACAATTTCAATTTCCTGGAAAGCAAACAGTGCAAGCAGTTTTTTCGGGCGCAAAACACGAATGTCATACTGACAAGATCTTTCGCTGTCTATGTCTAGGTACCCATTCACACCTGGGTGAAGTGGGGAACGTTTGTGTAAGGTACATTTCTGAGGAAACAACGTCAGGCCTCAGCTTCGAACCCCCGAACCCCCAACCTCACGATTACGAGTCCAGTACCCTAACCACAAAACTATTTACACCACATTCAAAAGGCTGAAATTTTTATTCCTCCCACCTACATATTATTTTATTGTTTTATTTCCAAGCTGGACATAAGATAATTGACTTAGATCAAGATCTACCTGTCACTAGCCGGGCTTTCCCACCACACACCAACAAAAAATTACCAAAATGGCCCACGATAGATGATATCTTCCTGGTTGGCAAGCTCTGATTTAGAGAGCAAATAGCCGGCAAATATTGGATTGCTATCTGGGAGGGGTGAACAGCACAAAGGAATAATTAATGAACAGTCTGTGACAATGCTGGCTCGGTATATGCTGTGGGGTTCTTTCAACATTCTTTTTTAACAAATGTTTCCAGATATGATCATGAATACGTATTATGTTTGCTTGGTCTTCGGATAGTACAAAGGGAACATATTATCGTCAAAAGATGTTTTGTGGTATAGGAATGTGTGTTTCAGAGTTGTGGGTACGTGTTTGGGAATACCTGTACAAGAAAAGAGTGCAGATGTCTGTGAATATTTGTGTGTGTGTGTGTGTGTGTGTGTG